TTTCGCTGAAAGATGTAGAGCAAGTAGATGGCAGTGTCACTCCCCTAATATAAGCTTATACTCTGTCACCCACGTGAGTATGATGCACAAATTTATACTCAGTCCCAGCCCTTTGCTTTCACCTCTAACTGCCTAGCTGGCATCTCTTAGATGTTTTAAAGGCACCTTCCATTAGTTTCCTATTGCTGTTGTAACAAATTACCACAAACTTGTAGATTGAAACAACACAAATTTATTCTCTTACAGTTCTGTAAAGGAGAAGTCTAAAATCAATCTCACTGGGCTAAAGTAGGGTTGGTTCCTTCTGGAGGCTCTGAGAGGAGACTCCATTTTCCTGCCTTTTTCAGCTTTTGGAAGTTGCCTGTATTCCTTGGCTCCTTCCTCACACTCCTCCAACCTCTTGCTTCCATTCTCACAATCTATTTTCTATAGTCAAATCTCCCTTTGAAAAGAAAAAAAAACTCCTTTCTTTCTTATAAGGACACTTGTGATTGCATTTATTGCTCACCTGGATAATCTCCCCATCTCAATGTCCTTAATCACATCTGCTGAGTCCTTTTTGCCATATAAAGTAACATTTATGGGTTCCAGGGATTAGGACATGGATATCATTGGAGGCCATTATTCAGTTTAGCACACACCTCAAATTCCATATATCCAAAACTGAACTGATGATCTTTCAATATTATCCACTCAGAGAATGACACCAACCATCTGGTTGTTTACCTCCTTCCTGCACCTGCTCAGTATAATACTCATTTTCCATTTATTCTAAAGAGTCTAGAAAAGTTGAACAGTTGATTTTCAGCTTTCCTGGCAGCTAGGAGTGGCTTGATGACACAGATCTGTCTAGTAAGACTTAGCAGAAACTTGTCAGGGGGTTTCTGGGAAGGTTTTCCTTTCCTGATAAAAGGGACCGTTGTCACGACTGGCTGCTCTGAAAAGCCATCTTTGCATTATGTACAGGTCTGGCCTGGTTCAGCTGTCTGCTCACTGCAGCCACCTCTGTTGCTGCATATTTGGGCAGCTTTATCACCAAAGTTCCCAAACACTCGCGTTCAATTTAATCCACTGGATCAGATGACTGACATGCTGCAGATGCCAGCTCCAAGATCACTATCAAGGACTTAAAGGAGAAAAAGGCTGTGGAGGAGGTGAAGAATGAAAGGGACGCCCCTGCTAATGGGGACACTAATGAGGGAAATGGGGAACAGGAGGCTGACAATGAGGTAGGTGAAGGAGAGGAAAACGGTGGGGAGGAAGGGGAAGAGGCGGAAGAAGGCGATGGTGAGGAAGAGGATGGAGATGAAGATGAGAGGCTGTGGCAGCCAGGGGCGAACCAGCATCTGAAGACCGTGAGGGTGACTAGACAGCAAAAAAGGAAAAGTACAGCTTAAAGAAACAACAAGGTCACCATGACCTATTCACCCTCCACTTCCCACCTCAGAATCTAACTGTGGTCACCCTTGAGTAGGGAGGCCCCTCATCCCCGCCCACTGTGGGCAGCGCCACCCCTGATGACCCACGCTGTCCACTGGCCAACCTGACCACAATGTGAATTTGCAACAGAGGAGGACAAAAGAACCAAAACTTCCAAGGCCCTGCTTTTTTTCTTAAAAGTACTTTAAAAAGGAAAATTTGTTTATATTTTTTATTTACATTTTACATTTTTGTACATATTGTTAAGGTTCAGCCATTTTTAGTAACCTTGGATCTCAAACCAGCTTTAAGAGTGATCTCTGTCCTACTTCTTGCTTTACTTGTGGCATGACTGTGTTCATTAGTATCTCAAAGGAGAAAAAAAAGACGTGTAAAAAAAGCAAAAACAACAACAAAATCTTATTCCCAGCGTCCAGTAACTTTTTTTGTGTATGTACTTAGCTAGTTACTTACTTAAGTAGTTGGTTTGTATGAAATGGTTAAAAAGGCCCAAAATAAAAGCTTTCCTTTTTTTTCCTTTTTTGTCTGTGAAGTTGCTGCTTGTTTGTTTATTTATTTATTTTTGGCCTGTTTGAGGTATGTTTATTTATTTATTTTTGGCCTGTTTGATGTATGTGTGAAACAATGTTGTCCAACAATAAACTGGAATTTTATTTTGTTCTAACAGAAAAAAAAAAGGAGAAAGAGAGAGAGAGAGACAGTTTTCATGAATTTTGCCCTTTTCTTATTCTTCCTGCTTTAGTCTTGAACATGAGGCTTGAGGCTGGACTCAGCTGTGAGGAAACCGTGCCTCATGCTGGGCCTGACATCACTGAGCTGCTAAACAAATCCCTTCTTACCTCCAGACTTTTTATGATATGAGGAAACACACACACACTCTACACTCCTGTGTTTAAGCCGCTGTTGCTCAGGTTGTCTGTTCTTCCAGCTAAAAGCTTTTCCTAGTGTTCTTGCCAAGTCCTCCCTATTTGACCTCCTAGATGTCTCTTGCATTCATCCAGTCCTCTTCACCCACCTTCACCACTTGCACCACCTGCACTGACCTGCTTTCAGCTTCTGGCACATGCCATGTTCCCTCTTGTCACTGTACCTTTACACATGCTGTTTCCTCTGTCTAGAATGTTCTTCCTTTTTCCCTTAGGCTAGTTGGCTCTTCATCCTTTAGTTCTCAGATCAAGCACTGCTTCCCCAGGGCCACCTTTCCTGAACTCCCCTTATCGTACTCTGCGTACAGGTCACCTGAGTGCAATTTTACATTTATTTGTGTGATTATCTAGTTCCCTCACTAGTTATTCACTCCTTAAGAGCAGGGACCTGGTGTGTTTCTATTCACTATTGTAGCAGCAGCCGGCACAACATATACACTGGACTTGTTGAATGGCATGAACATCGGAAACAGGATTCCCATCCACGTTTCTCCTACCTTTGAGTCCCCACTTTTCCCCCTGCAGTGCACTACCCAGAATGAGTAGATTTGGGACATGGAGAGAAATTGCAGAGAAGGGCCAATGTTGGTTTTATGGGGTCTTCAAGCTGGAAAATCTGAGCAGATGGAACAATACACAACTTGGTGACCATAAACCATGTGGCCTGGCCCCTTTCCTTTCCAAGAAGTTAATCCACTCTGTTCCAGGTCTTGGGCCTTGCTGGTGACTGGAAAACTCCCCTGACCACTACAACAAACTTCTTGATGAGAAGGAGAGAGCTCAGATTTTGATGATTTCACAGACTACAGCAGCTTTGTGGGTTCTGAGTGCCTAGAGTCTTGTTTTTATTTTTGATTCTTATATTTTTTGGAGCCTGAACCAAAGATTATGATTAATTCAATAAGTTATATGTTTTTATATCTCATTATGTTCATATTGTCACTTGGAAGGCAATTAAAGTCAGAAAGAAACAGTCAAGTTCCAAGTTTAAAATTTAAAATGAATACTATTGCATTTAGATGTTGTATTAGTTATCTATTGCTATATAACAGGTTTCCCCAAAAGCTAGCAACCTAAAATAAGATGCATTTATTATATCAGTTTGTGTGGT